TGGTATCAGATGGGCGAAGATCGAAGATCGTTCTTGGGCATCTTTTGATTACTCTAGAGAGCAGCGATCATCACGATCATCACGCTGGCCATGTCTATTCATAGGTAAACTTAGGTAAACTGGGGGTATTGTTCTCCTGCCGCCTTCAGGAATTTTGACATTCTGAAGTAGACATCTGCCTCTGGGCTGCTTGTGGTCAGAGACTCGTTTGGATTTTACAATCGTATAAAATACATTCTCTCTTAAAGCATTAATTATTTCATAACATATATTACATTATCAAGGGCTCCAGAGTGGTGGGTCCTTGATATAACAGGAGCCCATGACATCCCTAATAATCCATTTCCATTATCTTTTGGACTTCCTCCTCCTGAAGGTCCAGCTGTCTCTGAGGACACTCCCTTTTCCAATGCCCTTCTACCCGGCAGACGGCACACTGGTTTCTCCTAACTGCTGTTTGGGTTGGCTTTTCCCGGCCAAGGAGGGGAATGCCTCTGCCACTTAGTTGTTGCCTGACCCCGTCCCCTCTGTCCCGGGGGACCCATTAGACCCTGTGGTTTATTTCTCCAGGGCTGCAAATATTCTGCCATCATCTTTGCCTTAGCTTTAAACCTTTTCCTCATCTCTTCTTACATATATCTGCTATGTTTTTCTAACCAATTCCTCTAGAGGCTTATTTTGCCACTCTTCATCTTTCTGTACTCCTTTCCTTATATCAGGCGAAGCCTTAGTAACAAATTGTACGTTCAGCAATGTATTAAAGGCTGGTCCCTCAGGATCCATCCCCCCCATGCTTTCGCAGGGCATCCTAATCCTTTCCAACCAATGAGAAGGGCTTTCATGTTTCTCCTGTTTTAATGACATAGCCTTAGCTATGTTGTTAGTTCTGGGAGCAGCTGATTTAATTGCCCTAATCAAATAGGCACAGTAAACGTGGAGGCGAGCAAGACTAGCCTGGTTATTTGGGTCCCACTGGGGGTCAGCCTGTGGGATGGCATCATCCACTGTAGGTATATTAGGTCCAGCACCCCCTGCTGCTTGTGAATGTTTGTCCCACAACCTTCAGGGGGTTAAAAGCAGAGCACTCCCAGGGGGAAGCTCTCTTGGGTTCCAGTGGGGAAAGAGTTCGGACCTCTCCCAGCCCAGCTGCTGCTGCTGGGCGGGGGAGGGGAAGCCATGTGGCCGGGTGAGGTAGGCCGGGGCCTTGGACAGAGATGGGAGGTGAAGAGGCCCTTGAGGACGGGAAGAGTGGAGAAGCGCCAAGAGGCATCGGGCAGCCCCCCCCCCCCCCCCCCCCCCCCCCCCCCCCCAGGAGAGAGAGAGAGAGAGAGAGAGAGAGAGCGCGCCTGTGCCTGTGACTGTGCTACCTTGAAACTTGATAACAATGTGCCGGCAGCACGGCTGAGAAGGATGGGGATGGGGGTGGGGCGGGGGGGTTGTGCATCGAGAAGGTGTCCGGCCACTGTGGGAGTTCTGGGCGGGCGGAACCAAGATTTTAACCCTTTTTTGGACAATGAAAACTTTGCAGAACATTAGCCTTCCTAGAAGAGAGCTAGAGATGAAATGGAGGAGGAAATGGGCAAGTGTGATGAAAATCCGTGCAAGTGAAAGATGTCAGAAGAGTGGAGAAGAATCTTAGGTGGGAAGAGATGATGGAGTGGCCTTAGCTGGACTTTTCTTGTATAGCCATGGACAGAACCATGTTTCCTGTGACACAGAGACTGCATCCAGGGGAGGCAATGGCTCAGAGCCAAGAGGGTTCAGTGTTGAGACCCCTCGGCCTCAAGGGGGTGAAATTTGGGGGGGACAGGTGTCCCAAAGGTGAGAGACTGTGCTCTTTTTGGAACGGGACAAAGCATCCTGAAAAGGAAAACCCTAGAGGCAGCTCTGTTCCATGTGCAGTGGTGAGAGCACTGGGCATGGAAGGAAAAGGTCACAATGGCCAATGTTCTCCGGGCGGTGCCACGTGTGACATGGAAACACAAGAGGTTTCAACTGTGTTTCCTGGGCAAGCCTATGGCACAAGAAGGACTCCTCTCCTCTTGATGAACTGAGAATTGATTATCTAAAGGGTGGTGATGGACCGAGAGTTGGTGATCTGAGGGATGGATGTATTGGAAATTTGGTAGGGGGAAGAGGAAATGTTTTTGGAAGGTTTTCGTTTTTCCTGTGTGTTTCTTGTTACATATAGTTGTAGCTTAGTTAATAAAGTTTTTCTTTTCTTTATTTCTAAGTGGGGGCCTGCTTTGCTCTATTCCTGGTCACATCTCACAGCAGGACACCAGGGAGAATGTATTTTCATGGGGGCACTGGCATTGCGCCATTGTCAAACCATGACAATGTTCATCCTCCCACAGCTGCCAAGCTTTCTGCAAAATCATTTGTTTCTCTGATGGCCCAAACAAAATCCCCAAAAGAAAATCCAAGTCTTCCATGTATAATCTGCATTTCCCAAATATTCCTCTATCTTTTCCCCCACCCTTATGGGATCATTCAAATATGGGGGTAATTCTTTTTTCAACCCTCTTATATCCTGGGTAGTAAGTGGTACAATTACAAACCCAAACCCTCCCCCTTGACCCCCCAAAGGAACTTGGCAGAGTGGCATCTGGTGTACTGTCTCTTGGGGCCAGGGGGCTTCTGATGTCGTAAATTGAGTTCCTCTTCTAATTCTAGGAGGAGAAACTATATGCTGCTCCCCTCCCCCCCACACCATCATTATTCTCAGGTGGGGCTGTAGGAACAGCATTTCCCTGATCCCCTTGCTCTGGGAGTTGAGGATACAGGGGACCTACAGCTGGCTCTGGGTCAGCTGGCAACACTGCGGGACAAGACAGGGGAAGGTGCTGAAAAATATCCCAATCCTCACTGTTTTCCTCTCCTCCCCTTTTTCCTCTTCTCCCATTTTTCTTAACACAGATTTCTCCTGTTGTTTGTCTAATCCACATAAATCCACATAAATCCACATTCCCTTTTAATCCATCCTTTCCAATTCTCCTCTAAATACCTCCACAAAATTTGACACAAATGAATTCTATCTGTTCCATAAGGTGGCCATATCAGCCCCTTTGGCAACTCATACTCTGGCCACACAAAATAACAATATTTTACCATGATCTCCATAGTGTTAGGAAAATTAATCCACAAACACCAGAGGTTTATGTCCAAAAATGAGACAGAGGAGTCCTTTGACTTTATTCAAATAAAGGGAGAGGCCATGGGGCATTCCCCTGGGATCTCAAACTTCTCGAGGACGCAGCCTCCGTTTTATCCTAATTTCCCAGCCGCATTTCCTTTCTCTCTTTCCCCATTGGCTGAGGTACTTGAAAGGTACAGACTTCCCGGAACGCTTGATACCGAAGATTTCCCTCTAATGTATAACTCTCCCTTTTAATTTTTAATTCTTATGGAATTTAGGAGTTTTCCCCATTGTTTCTTTCATCTTTCAATGTCTAATTTCGTTTATCAGCAAACCTAAAGTTTGTTTGTAAAGGTTAAATATCTTTTTCCATTCATCAATCAGTGGAATCCTTCCCATTGTTTCTTTTATCTCCCAGTGCTAGTTTTATCTACCAGAAGACCCACAGCTTGTTTGTAAAGACAAATGCACCTTTCCTCTCAATCACTTTATTATACTATACTTATTAAGAAACCCATCACCCTTACAGACAGTCACGATACAGGTGGACCCAATTGGCCCTTCAATCTAAACATCATCACCATTGGCCAATTAAAAAAACCACCCTTTGGTAAACAAATCTCCATAACACATTCCACATGTTCGCAACAACAGGTGCAGCAAGCTAAGATAAGAATTGTTTATCATTCTTTTCTCTGATCTTCTCACAGCCTTCCCCAGGACAATGCCTGGGAATGTTAGGTGTTGCTCTCTGTGGCCAGAGAACTGCTGCCACAACTATACATCTACAAAACTTCTCTTGATGTATACATAATATTCACCCCTTAACTGTGAGAGCCAACCATCTCATTACTCATCTATAACTATTATCATTAGTCGTAGTAAAATTAAAATATTTTGTTTCAATTTTTACACTGTTTCTATTTTGACCCATGGGTTTTACCTTTTTCTAATTCTCTTCTCCATCTCACCAGGGTGGTGGTGGGGGGGGGAGATGAAGAAGAAGGAACTGTGGTACTTAGTATGATGGCTGGGGTTAATCCACAACAGCATGTAAGAAATGTTCTTCCTGAACTGTTGTGTTCACAGTGTATGCTATTTTCTGGGAAGTTTTAAGGACATTCTCTTTCACATGGGTTTTACAAAGCACCTATTAATCAGTCTTTTATTAAAAGGGCTGTGAATTATTTAACAAATGTGACTGAAACTCTTAGTAGCACCAGACAGATGAGAAAGCATGCCCACATTTCACTTCCAGTACATATATTGGGTTTTATGGCTAGTCTTTCTTGTTCATGTTGGCTGGTTATAACTGTAATAGCAATAAATTTTTTGTTAAATGTAACCCATATGTGTCCTTATAAAACAGGTTTGTGCAATACAAAAACTTAAAAATAAATTGTGCTTCTTGTTTTATTGCATGTTTTCCAGTGAGTATTGCATATGCAACAGGGGAAATGCAACTGTGGAACTTACAATAGATCTTGAGAGGTATTGCTTTAGGGAATGAAGAAATACACTTGTGAGACAAGATAACCTCACTAGTTCTTCTATTCTGATCTTATTAGCCTATATGGATGCTTTAAAGGTCTTTTTTTAGATTTGCTGTCTATTCAATGACTACTTGCAATTGCAAACAGATGCCCCTCCCCTTTTACTCCCTTTAAAGAATGTATGCCAATATATGCTTTATAATTTTAGCTGTAATTGAATTAGAAATTGTTCTCTATTTGCAAGTTTGTCTCAGTGTACACAGATACTTGTCTATAATACTGGCATTTTTAATTATTGAGAAAACTTTTTAAAAAATCAAAACCACAGAGCCCCTTTTTTACCACTATTCCTTTTTTTTCAGGCAATAATAAATAGCACTATCACCCCCAACATGACATTTACAAAAACATCCCAGACGTTTGGCCAATGGGCAGACAGCAGAGCAAATACAGTCTATGGTTTGGGATTTTCATCTGAACATCACCTTTCAAAAGTAAGTATGACCAATAACAACTATTTGGCCAAACAACTTAAGAATCAAATACCTTTGCTGGTTGTAACTAGACGCTGCTCACTACTATTGTTTGAAAATAGTTTACAATAAATGTTCTGTATCCATTCTTACAATGTAAAAAGACAAGACAAAATTGTTATAACACTTTGTTGCCTATGAATTTTCTTTTAACTGATATAGGAGAGTAGGGATATTCACGTTATCAGAGTGTATGCTGTTAATTATTTCCCGGTATTCATTTGTTAGGTTTTTTAAGTTTCTCTTCCTTCAAGTTGTTCTTTCATTACAGTTTTTCACTATAGAATTTAAAGGAGTAGACTATGTAGTGTTTCTTCCATGTTTAGATCTAGAAAACAATTACTGATAGTTTTCCAATGCATTTTTGTCTTTTAAGCTGCATTCACTTAGACTTTTTTGCTGTGTAGTTCATCAAATTACAGATATTACAACATGTGCAAGCTTAAAGTAAAAATAGTGGGAAAAATATTCAATGTAAAAGAAAACTACATTTTCTTGTTGGAGTACAAATGTTGACAGTTTTTCTAAGGAAACTCAGTTCCCTATGAGTTTTTTTCTGGTCTGCTTGTGCAGGAGGGAAGTCCACCTTAATCCAAGGAAAGCAGTAACTCCTTTTACTGAAAGTCATGGTAGGGTTCACTGTGAGCACCCTTTCTACAATTCCTATTGTTATTGATAGCACTTTGGTAGATGAGTCCAAGAATCTGCAAAAATCAGTGTTGTTTTTCTCCAGATGAGGAATTCCATTTTCAGTTTGAAAACATGTTTCTACATTAAGCAGAGAATTTTCATCTTTGAAATACACAAAAGATCTGGCAACACAAATGCAATAAAAATGAATGTATAATAAATGTTTGAGTAAAGAATAATGATTGGCTTTTTATTAAAAAGCCTTAAATAAAAAAAAATCATACTGGCCCTTTTGAGAAAGTAATTGTTATTGTCTAAGCATGAGAATGGGCCTGTCAGAAAACCATTAAAAAAAGAATCAGTAAATCTGCTTTATTTGGACAGCATGATATACTTGTAAGACTTCTTCCTTTTATAATCCAATTGCTTTGATTTCTAAGAAGCATCACACACAGAAGAAATTCTGAGTGATATTGAGTATATGCATGTGCATTTGTGCACGTCATTGCTTTAGTGAACCCAGAAATTTTGTCATTTATTTAAATTGATGTGTATGTCTATTGGTTTGGCACAGCCTGGTTTTTGGTAGCGGGGGGGGGGGGGGGGGGGTTGGGAGAGGGGTACAAAGATGGGTCCTGTGAGAAGCTACTGGAAGCTTCCACCATGTCCGGCAGAGCCAATGGCTGATGGCCCTGAAGATGGACATGCTGCTAGCCAAAACTGGGCCCATGAGAGGTTGGTTGTAAAGGCTAATCTCTCTAATCTCTCTGGGGCCTTTGAGGGTCCAATCTGGCTGGCTCTGGACCCCTGGCCCCTTGCAGCCTTTACAAGGACAAAAGTAAAAGACTAGAGGCGCTCTTCTCTTCGGGACCAAAAATCCCACAGCTTTATTGTGGAATTACTCCAGAGGGTCCAAGATGGGAAAGAGCAAAGGAGAAGAAGAGGGCAAGGGTCTTGTCCCAGGAGATTTTAAATCCAGGGGAATGGGGGGCGGAGGATAGGGACCACAGCCGATGGGATACAAGTGAGGGGAGGAGTAAATCAGGAAGAGACCACCACCATGGGGCTTTGGGGGGGGGGGGGGGGGGAAGGGGGGAAAGAGGAGAATGGAACAAACCATGTGATCAGTGCAAATTACCAAATACCCAGTGCAAAAACAACAACTAAATAAACTATTTAGTGCAATACAACAGTTGGTAACACCTCTGTGCCAAAAGGACTAGCACAGGTGCTAGTGAGATCCTCCTGTAGTCTCCCTCCACAATTTTTCCACCTTTTCCTTAAATTTTTAATCCTCCAGAGAACCCTTCCTTTCATATAATGAGATATCATTGTTGTTTAGTAATTTTATCAAGAGATTGCCTCAAGGAATTATAGTAATTTTTTAAATATTTCCACTACATTAGACTTGTTAGCTCTTTCTTTGAATGTTATCTATTTCTCTGTCTATTTGTGGTGATTTGACCCTGGCTAGCTGCCAGACAACCACCAAAGCCACTCACTCACTCCCCTCCGCAATGGGACAGAGGAGAGAAAATATAACCAAGGGTTCATGAGTTGAGTGAAATAAGGACCAGGAGAGATCACTTATCAAATACCACCACAGGCAAAACAGGCTCAGCTTAGAGATATTACTTGAATTTATTACTAACAAAATCAGAGCAGGATAATGAAAAGTAAAATAAGACCCTTGAAAACACTTTCCACCCACCCCTCCCTCCTTCCCAGCTCTACCTCCTACGCCAGCAGCGCAGGGAGACAAGGAATGAGCATTATGGTCACTTCATCACCTGTGGTTTCTCCCATTGCTCAGGGAGAGGAGTCCTTCCCCTATTGCATCATGGGGTCCCTCCCACAGGAGACAGTTCTCCATGAACTTCTCCAATGTGAGTCCATCCCACTGCTCTAGCATGAGTCTTTCCCATGGGCTACAGTTCTTCACATACTGCTCTAATGTGAGTTCCTCTTCCATGAGGTGCAGTCCTTCAGGCACAGCCTGCTCCAGCATGGGTCTCCCAACTGGGTCACAAGTCCTACCAGGAAAACTGCTCCAGTGTGGACTCCTCTCTCTATGGGTCCACAGGTCCCTGTCCAGGAGTCTGCTCCAGTGTAGGCTTCCCACAGGTTCACAGCCCTCTCTCAGGCATCCATCTGCTCCAGCATGGATCTCCTCCACAAGCTGCAGGTGGATCTCTGCATCCCCATGGTCCTCCATGGGCTGCAGCAGCACAGCTGCTTCACCATGGTCTTCACCACAGGCTGCAAGGGAATCTCAGCTCTAGTACCTAGAGCATCTCCTCCCGCTCCTCCACTGACCTTGGTGTCTTCAGAGTTCATCTCACATATTCTCAGTCCTCTCTTCTTTGAGTGCAATTACCTCCATGCAATAACATTTTTACATTCTTAAATATGTTATCACAGAAGCGTTACCATAATTTCTGATTGGCTTGGCTCTGGCCAGGTCTGGGTCTGTCCTGGAGCCATCTGACATTGGCTTTGAAAACCTGGCCATGAAAACCCAATACACTGATAATTTTTTTTAACAGTTTCTACTACTGTGATACAGAAGATCCTATTTACTGCCTTCTATGTCTTCAGCCGTTCTAAATCTTAGCATCATGTTTGCTCACTTACCAATCATCAGGTCCTAAAGCTGATTTAAATAATAGGTTATACATTAGATTTTGTGGTCTATCTACAACTCTTAAATAAGTATTGTTTTGTGGAGATAAACAAAACTCCACAACTTGTGTGAAAGTTGTAAAGCTGGTATGTTTATTACAGCGCTGGACGCATGTGGGAATCGTTCCCCTAAAATGACATGTGTACCTCTGGGAACTCCAGATCTCCTTTTATCTCCCTCTCAAATACATATGCATGCAATTTTACAATAGGTTCAAACACATTCATTCCACTGATTTTGTGTGACACTTGCCACTAATTCTTCAGAAAGAACTCCTGGGTCAGGTTGCCCTGCTCTGTCTGCCCCCCTCCTCCCCCCTTATCTCTTGTCCTTTGGCTGAAGCAGTCCTTCCAAGCACAGGCTTTTCGCGAGAACAGGCAGTCAGACTAAACAGCAAGCTACAGACTTAACTCAAAGATGTACGTTTCACCTAAATCAAAATGGATTTCTACCCTGGAAAATTTCCACTCTGCCTCATTCCCCCCTTTCCCAAAAGGAAGAAGTAAATTCTTTTACTTCATGCAAATTCCTATGACAATAAGCATGCTTTAGTGCTTTACCATGTATGTTTGATAAGGAGGTTAACACAGCTACTCGCTGTAGTATTCTCCAACTCCAAATTAACAATAAAAAGGATAACCCTAAACTTACTCCAACTAATATTAACAAAACTACAATAGGGTGACACAAGCTTATTAAAGATTCCATTTGCAGTTGGTGACCACCCAAAGATTACATCCCACCAGTGATGATCTGCATTTTGTTTTATTCTTTGCAGAATTCTGGTTATTTCTTTTGTATCATGTTGGACAGTAATTAGGGTTTTCTCTCCGCTTTCTTGGGTTTTCTTCAAGATCTCCAGTAGGTCTTTGGTGTTTAATTAATTGCTTTACCAATGTGAGGTCCATTCCAATAGGAGTAGGTGACAGTCTGTGATACATTGTGTAATTGGTTTTAATCAACTGGTGGGATGTCACTGGGGCCACGTACAAAAAAATCACACTCGATAATCTTAACAAAATTACAAATACAAAAATTAGAATGATTTCTACTAGACAAAATAACATTGTTATCAATTTTTACAGCAGCACAAGCAGTTCTCAGGCACACACAACTTTTACTAGTATAAACGAGCACAGTTTTCTGATCAGTGACTGGATGAATTTCGAACTGGCAAATACTCTGTTCAGTGTCTAGACACACATTTTGGGCATTAATAGTATTACTTTCACAAATGAATCCTAGTTGTTCTCTAGTAATGCAGGATTCTAAGTTTACTGTTTGCTACTTTTCATTCACCTTTCATGCTCACACTTGATGTTTTCAAACAGTGGCATTATGTATGGTAAGCACAAAGGCAGTGGCTATATTAGAAGCAGGATCATAGGTGAAATTTACCATAGTCCACCAGGATTGAAACTTCTTTTCAAAATCAATCGCATTATCCCAGACAACTTTCTGAATTTCAGCTGGAAAATTACCTTCATCCCCTTCCCATATGATCAGAGCTGCTGTTGCCTGCATCCATAACTGTGCTTGTATACAACTGAAAGCTAAAGACACATTATCTTGAACTGTACTAAGTGCTTCTACTATTAACTTGTGGTCTTGGTCCCTGGCCTTTTTTCACTTTGGCAGTACTTTTGAA